AATAAATAAATAAATAAATAAATAAATAAATAAATAAATAAAAGATTTTTAAAAATTAAAGAATTTGCACTTACCTCTTAGGGATCTCTTAAAAAAAACCTCTTAGGGAAAAAAATAAGTGCTACCTACTTATGTAGAGGTGTAAATTGAGACAGGTTCAATAATTTGCTCAGGAGCATACACTGATAGGATTATTATTACTTTTTTCTTAAACAGTGTTAGGGATTGAACCAGGTCTTTTATTCTGAGCTACATCCCCAGCCCATTTTATTGTTTTATTTTGAGACAAGGTCTTGCTATGTCACTAAGCTGCCCAGGTTGGGATTGAATTTGTGATCCTCCTGTCTCAGCCTCCCAGAGTGCTGGGATTATAGGCATGTGCCATTACCCCTATCTAGAGTCAGAATTTGAATATTTTTTGCTTTGCTTCAAGGTTCATCTATAGTAATAGTCTCAATGCTACTGATTTTTAATAAAGTAGAACATAAACACATAAGAGCATAAAGTCAAATGCCTGAGAAGTGGCTTGTGGTTGTTTGGAGATTAGTGTAACAAAGTCCTTAGGAGAAGGAGAGCGGGGCATCATGGAAGAATCAACCAGGGAAAGACCGAGAAGAGGGAGGAGAAGGAGAGAAAACCTTCGGCCTGTGTCTACCTCAGGATGGCTTTAGTTGAAGAATCCAGCCTAGATTTTCCCCTCAGGGGAGGTGAGGATGGAGAGCAGGCGGCAGGATCAGCTCCGGCAAGCCTACATTCCTGGACTTTTGTGTCAAACCTTTTAACAAAGAACATTTTCCAAGGAGCTTTTGTGGACTATGCTGGGCACCAGAGTCTGGACCTGAATTCTAACTAATGGTTTAGTCTTGGGCAAGCTGAGACCAACTTCACAACTCACTGCCTATCCTAATTATGCAGTGGACCAACATATACAGGCAATGTTTAAATAAAAGTCCTTACAGTAAAAGACATATAGATATTGCCATAAACTCACCTCAGAATACTACCTATCACTTCCACCAAACTTATCCCATCATTCTTACCACTTTCTAAAAACAGATTAGGTAGTATGATCAAAAATATGGTGAATGTTACTATTGAGTGTGACCTACGAAGGTAAGCTGGTGTAAACAGGCTGTATGGTTATTCACAACATCTGGCATCATGTGATTTCTAGCTTTTCCTTGAGGTCAAAATAATCATAAAACTCAAAACTTTTGAGTCAGTTCAAGATATCAAGGCAACCATGACAGACAGCATAACTCAAAATATTTATAGGGCTGGACAAATAGTGCAGTATATTAAAGTGCCTGCTTAGGTACAGTGTAGCAGCTGGGGTTTTATCCCCAGCCTGCTGTGCTGGCCCTGCCTCCTGGGGCATGCTGAGCCTTGGACTGAGACTAGATGTAGGGGCACGCCTATAATCCCAGCTCCTGGGTGGCTGAACACAGGTGGATCACTATGAGTCCAACCCATGTAGTGAAACCTTGTAGACCCTTACTAAAATACAAAAAAAAAAAAAAGACATTCATCAGAAAGGACTTCCAGAGCTGCTTCAGAAAATGGCAAGAGTGATCACTTATTGAAAGAGATTAATGGCAATGTATCTCTTATGATAATATATTTTTTAAAAAAATTTTAAATATTCACTGTTTTTTTCAATCACACTACATATCTGTGTAGTGGGCAAGGAAGCCCAGGCCTGAGAGGAACTTTTGGCCAGAACATCTTTCTTAAAGAGTATCAATGTTACTGTTGAAACCACTGAAAAGTGACCTGGGTACCTGCCCCTCTACAAAGCAGAAATAAAAAATAGATATAACCAGTGTTCTTCAGGAGCTAGGAGGACTGTGGGTGTCTGGTGCTCATTTCTTTCCTGATTAAAGAGAGCTGGACATGGTGGTGCATGCCTCCCAGGTACTGAAATCCCAGCACTTGGGGAGATTGAGGCAAAAGGACTTCTGTGAGTTGGAGTCCAGCCTGGGCCACATAGCAATTTTGAGGCCAACCTGAATTACATGAGACCCTGTCTCAAAAACAAAAACAAAACCAACCAAAGCCAACAAACAAACGAAGAAACAAAACACAGCCCTTAGAAGCCCAGGTAGTCCAGCCCTAGCAGCTCCCTTGGCCTGGGGTCTTAGGCGCTGGCTCCTTTGGATGAGGCAGATGTTGGCAGCACAGAGGGAAGGAAGTGTGAGGACAGCTCCAAAGCAGCAACAGGATGAAGCCGCTCAGAAATGCCAGGGAAGTGAAAGTCAGCCTGGAAAGAGCATGGTAAGAAGCAAAAGCAGACCGACCGGCAGCAGCTGCAGACTGAGAGCAAATCTCAGAGGGGCCAGTGTTCTAGGAGCCTCAGAGGGCTGAGACCTACCCTTCTTGCAGGCTGAGGCTTGGGACCACCCACATGCATTCTTGCCCTTCACACAGCTTTTCCTGTGAGTTGGGGGTGGGCTGCCCACTCAGAGGTTCTCGGCCTCCTGTTCTCTCTCTTCAGTGCCTGTCAGCTGGGCCTAATTTCTACCGCAGAGCTGTGCAGTGGGATTATCCCTGAATCTTTCAAAGAAACGAGGCACTGTGATTTTGGCACTAGGTAAAGTTAATTATTGTCCTTCAGGCTATCTCCCACAGATAGTTTTTTTTTTTTTTTTTTTTTTTTTTAATATGAAATGGATTTGGCATTGTTTAGCTAGGGTAGTTTCCCCCTCAAAGTTGAAAGCTAAAAACATGCAACACAAATATTCACCAGAAGAGTGTTTTATCACTAAAATGATGCTAACAGCATCGTTTTCAACTTTTTTTGCTTTTGATGAACTTGTCATTTCCAGCACTCTTGCCTGCAATGTTCTCTCTTGTGCCTGTGACACTGAGTGAAACTGTTAGATCCCAAGTTCACTTGTCGGGCCCAAAACTGCCGAGATTGAAGGCTCATTTGCAGTCTGCTGAGGTAAGAGAAAGACTGGCTAAATTCTGTTTCAGCTAATTTTCATCTCTATCCAATTCTGAATTCTAAAATATGGTACCTAACAGACTCACTCTGCATGTATGCTAAAAGAAAGGATATTTGAAAAATAAAAAAAGTTTAATTTATCGAGAAGCATTTTAATAGCCTTCTGTTTACTGTGGTACTGAAGATTGATGCCAGGGCCTTAACACTGAGTGATATCCGAGACCCTTTAAGTTTTTTAATTTTAAGACAGGATCTTACTAAATTGCCTAAACTGGGCTTGAATTTATGGTCTCCCTGACTAAGCAGAGTGCTATGATTATAGGTGTGCACCATCACACCGTTTGCAAAACATTTCAAATTGATAAAATCTTTGCTGTGCTCTGTCCCTTAAATGATTGTTTTCCTCCCCCCACCCATCTCTCTTAAGTTTTGTACATTAGGCCCTATAGGTCTTGGCTGTAGAGCCTGGTGGCCCCATTTAGGAGCTTGCTAGGAGTACAGGGTCTCCAGCACAGCCACTGAACCAGAATCTGCATCTTAACAGGACCCCCAAGTCACTGTGCACATACTGAAGTAGGAGAAGAAGCACTGTGCAGAGGTACCCGGTCAGGAGCTTCCACTGAGGCCTTCTCTTCAGGCAACAACTGTTGAGGTGCAGTTTAGCACCATACCACATATTGTGTAGAAGGCTGCGGCTGCAGAGGGTTCAAATCCCAGCTCTAGGGATGAAAGTGCAGTCAAGGGGCTGAGCGTGTGCGTAGCACTGATGAAGCCCTGGGTACAGTGTTCAGCTCCTGAATCCAACTCTGCTGCTAAAGTGACCTAGAAGTTTAAAAACAATTCCAATTCCAAGACCATTTGCAAGTACAGTACAACAAATGTCTATATACCCATTACCCAGATTTACCAGTGACTAATATTTTGCAACATAGCCTCTCTCTCTCCAAATTATTATTCTCAACCTTGTGGAGAGTTAATATACTGCTGGAGTTTTATGCACTCATATACCTTTCCCCTTAACGCCTCAGTGTATACCTCCTAAGACAGGATATTCCCTTTCGCAGCCATAGCACCAGGCTGGCACCAGAGGAAGGCAGGTGAGGCTGCTCAGAAGGGCTTCTTTCAGTTCTGCACTCAAGGAGCCTTTCTTGCCCCACAGCAGTCTTTCTCCTGCATGCTATAGATATCACAAGCAATCCATTTAGACTGGGAGCTGGGTGCTGCTACAGTCTTGTAGTCCCAGAACTCTAGGGAGCTGATGCAGGACTGCAAGTCTGAGCTCAGCCTAGGCAATTTAGCAACACTAGTATCATAAAAATTAAAAACAAACAAATAAAACACAGATAAGGAAATAGCTTCGTGTGAAGGCCCTGGAATCAATCCCCAGTTCCGTGCGCTCCTGCGAGAAGACCCCTCCAGGCTGGGTATAGTGGTGCTTGCACATGGTCCCAGCAACTTGAGACAGGGAAATCAGGAGTTCAAGGCTGGCCTGGGCAGCAGTGCAGGCAACACAGTGAGACCTGTTTAAAAAAAAATTAAGGGGGCCGGGGTGATAGCTCAGTGGAATAAGTACTTGTCTGGCAAGTGCAATGTTCTGAGTTCAATCCTTGGTATCACACACACACACACACACACACACACACACACACACACACAAATAAATAAAAAACAAAACAAAACAAAAACATCAATTCCATACTACACTATTATTTATAGTCCATTTTCCAATTTTGTCAGGTAGCCTAATAATATCCTATACAGAAAAAAAATCCTCCCAGACCCAAAAACTAGAGATCATACATGGTATTTAATTCCCATAGACGTCTATTTGGTATCCTTTAATCCGGAACAGTGCCTCAGCCTTTGTTGTTGTTTTTTTTTTTAATTTTTATTCCATACTTATGTACACTAGGCAACAAGTTACTTTTTAATCCCTTCCTGTCAACTTACCACTTATTGATTGAAACTTGTGTTGAATTAAGTAAGGTCTGCCACGGGTGTGACAGAAGGCAAGTGTAGGTACATTCACGAGTAACCGATACCAACGAGGCCTTTGTCAGTATCACACAGTGCTTTCTGTGCATGCCCAGATTCAGTTTTCATTGAAAAGAGCTTTATTTTTATTAACATTTCAAAAACTTGAGACTTACCACCATGTATCCAACCTCTCACATAAGTGAGTGACCCACAGACCTGCACCAGGTCTGTATCCAAAGAATGTGCTTAGAAGCCATCTCAGCAGTGCTTGCTATAATCTACCTGTTTTGTAGTACTGGGAATTCAACTTAGAGAACTCTACGCTGCACTATGCCTCCAGACATTTTTATTTTTTATTCTGAGACAGTGTCTTGCTAAGTTGTCCAGGTTGGCTTCAAATGTGATGTTCCTGCCTCAGGCTCATAAATAGCTGGAACTATAGGCATGCACCACCAGGCTGACTAAAATGGAATCTTTTGAAAGATAACATTTATTTAATATAGAATTCATTATTTCAAGTAGACAATTCATTGTCTTTTAGTGTATTCACAATATTATATAACCTCCAGCACTACCTAATTCCAGAATAGTTCTATCACCCTCCAAAATAAAGAGACTTCCCAAACCCTTCCTCTCATTCTTTGACAATCACTAATCTAGGAATAAATGCCTGTCTCTATGAATTTGCAAAGCCACACAAAGGAATACTATTGAATAATAAAAATAAACTATTACAGTAACATTTTGGATCTTAGAACAATGTGCAGAGTTAAAAAAATCCAGATATAAAGACCAACTACCATAAAATTCCATTTAGGTGGAATTCTAGACGAACCCATATCACAGTAAGAGGGAGCAGGCCCAAAAGTTGCGGTAGTGCCAACTACAATGGGGCACTGACTTTCTGGAAGGACAAAGAGTTCTAGAACTTGACTATGGTGGTGGTATGATACTGTACAGACATTTACTGAAAAGCATTAAATTGTCTCCTGAAAAGTGGCTTGTTTTTTTTTTCTTTTTGGTGGTATTGGGGATACATCCCAGAACCTTAGCATGTCTCTATCCCCAAATCATTTTATTTTTTAAATTTTGAGACAGGGGTCATTAAATTGTCTAGGCTGGGCTCAAACTTGTGATCCTTCAGCCTCAGGTTCACAGAGTTCTAAGATTACAGGTATGTGCCACCACATTCAGTTGGAAAAAAGGTTTTAATATGTAAATTATACCTCAATAAAAGAGTAAAAAAATGCTCAACACATCTGGCCTCAACTGGAGTTCAATATAACAGCATGTTGTCCTTCAGTCGGGCTCTTAATCTATATTCCAGCCTAGCTCAGTCTCTTTCCTCCAGGCTTCATTCAACAAATATTGTCTGACATTTGGTGTGTGTGTGTGAGCCTGGTGTCAGGATCCAGAGAGCCTCTGCATCAGGACACTCAGCCTCGTCTGAACAGGAGGAAGGTCTGTTTCTGGAGTCTCACCAAGTGGTAAAGGAGAGGAATACTAATATGAACTCCAGACAGCACAGGTTTCAGTCATTTGGATTTTCAATTGCTGTTTTTCTGAACAGCTACATTTGCATGCTTTAAACAAGAAATTATACAGTGAAAAAATCTCTTCTGTGCTACTTCTCCATGTTTCCATTCCTACTCCATCTCATATAGCCATATTGTCATGTATTTTTTCCTTTTAAAAAGATAGCATAATATCCATAATATTCCAGACCTCTTTCTTTTATTTGGCAGTAAATCTTTTATTAATTAATTATTATTATTATTATTTAGTAAATCTTTTAGATCTTTTACTATAAGGACAGTGAACATTTCTACTCTATTATGTACTGTTCCCTTGTATGAATTGTGTCATAGATTGATCAACTACCCTCCTGTTTATTTAGCAGTACTAAAGATTGAACTCAGGATCTTGTGCACGCTAGGCAAGTGCTCTACAACTGAGCTATATCCTCAACCCCTTTTCAAATTTTCATAAAGGTTTTCTCTAAATTACCAGGCTGGTCTCAAATCTGAGATCCTCCTTCCTCAACCTCCACAGTAGCTGGGATTTTTTTTCCCCTTTGGTACTGAGAATACAACTCAGGACCTTGAGCTTGCCAGACAGGTGCTTGTACTGCTAAGCTGTATCCTTGACCCAAGTGGCTGGTATTCCAGGCACATGGCACCATGCTGGGATAACTAGTCCCTTTTCAATGAACATTTGTTTCTATTTGCCATGATATCTAATACGTTGTGTAACTGTGTTTTATTATGTATGTGTGTGTGTGTATAAACCAAGCATATCCATGGCTACATATTTATTTTCTAACCATCCCACTAATATACCAACTACTTTCATTTCTAGTCTGTTTCTTTTGCTTTGAAAGCCCCCACTTCATCCCTTTTTGCTGGCCAACCTCTACTTCCCTTCACTGAAATGTCATTTTTTGTGAAGACTTTTTAACTCCCTTGGGCAGGATTCCTTCATTCTTTTCTCAGTACTCCCCTTGCACAGGCTCTGAATTGGTTCTTGACTCTACTCTCCCCCCTCTGGACTGTGAGCTACACAGGACTTGTGCTATGCTAGGTTTCTCTCTGGACCCCTCAGTGCAGTACTTGGTGTGTGCCACTGAAGGAAATGGTCCCTGCACTAGTGGGGAGTCTATGGCCCACGAAGGGGTGCCCTGCGGCTGCATCGCTCCCACCCTGGCCAGATCAATGGCCTCACAGCCTCTGTGAATACTGCCACTACTGCCGAGGGTAACTGTGGCTTCCTTCCTCTCCCTCCTAACTCCTCCTGCTTTGCCCCCCATACTGGGATCCTGCTCATAGTTCCCCTACTGGCCTGTGCTGCGTTTAGTTATAGATGGCAGCTATGACAGCTTCTTAAAAGAAAGAAAAACAAAGATGGAGACTTGGCTCCATGTTTTCTCTTCCTCATCAAGTCTTTAGCCTCCTCTGAAGCTAAAGGGACAAGAGGCTTGATAGTCAAATGCACATCAAAATCGCTTTCAAACTGAACTTCTTCCATGTTAAGCCCAAGGAGATGAGCATTTGCCATATTACTTTTAGGAATGTGGGAAATGCTTATAGTGTTTGGGTTGATCACTGTTAAGTGATTTTTTTTTTTCCAGAAGCAACTTGGATTACTTTTAAATACATAAATTGAGTTAGTAGTAAAATAAGATCTTAACAGTGCTGGAAACTGTCAAGTGCTTGTTTTCATGATATATTTTATTATCGTCACTGCTAGGTGGGCAACACTAGAAGTGTAAGCTCCGTCTCTACTCCTGGAATGAAGTTCATCTCTAACCTCCTCTCACCCAAGGAAAGTTCCTAATGCCAGAAGGTGGAGCTGCTAAAGAAAGGAATCCAGACCTATAATCCCAGCACTCAGGAGGAGACTGGGCAGGAGGATCTCCACTTCTAGGAAAACCTGGGCAACTTAGTGAAACCAAGGTCTCTACAACCAAAATACAACCTCCCCTCAAAAAATTTAAAAAAAAAAATTACAAGATAGAAAACTTGGGGGCCTGCCCATTAGTTCAGTTGTTTAAGTGCCTACTTAAACAAAGCAGTCAGTCTCTGGGAGCGGTGGTTGGATTCCCAGATACTCAAGGCAATCCAGACCAGCCCTGGAGGCAATCTGGAGCCGCCAAAAAAAAAAAAAAAAAAAAAAAAAAGCTTTCACTCCTCTCACTCTTAGGTAGAGAGTAGGAGGTGCAAATGCAGATGTTTTACCAGAAGAAGCCTCAGCAAGGGGGGTACCTGGCTCCATTTGAGGTTCTAGGATTGCTATCTTCAAAATTTCTTGCTTGTTTACCTCCTAAAGAAAATGGAAAAGGTGTTTCT